ATGAAATTTTTGTGTAATTTCCACAGAAGTGGTTAGTTCTGTGAGGTTTTTCCCTTCTGTTTCAGTGCCCAACGTTTATAATACATGATGCTTAAACAGAAGGTTACAAAGAACTTAATTGTCCTGCTATGCAGGGCAAAAAAGAGACTTTATAAGGTCGTTTATTCTGCCTCTTGCTCTAAGGAAGCATGTACATTACATTGGAAATGTAACACAGTTCCCCTCTCTGCTTTTAATATTTTAAGGTATGAAAAGGCACCATTATGTTTTCCTATTTTTACATGAAGATGCAACTTAAAACAATGGATTTGTTACTGAGAAGCTATATATTAGGAAAATGTTCTTACTTGCTACCTGAAATCAATTTACAGTGGAACTAGCTAGGCAGAGGATTTACATGGTCAGTACTTTGTTAGTAAAATAAAAATTCTTGCATTTGAAACACTTAGCCTCTGAAGATGCCTTTTTGTTGTGATTTGGATTTCTGTACCCTGGAATTCCTTCAAGTGTGCTAGTAAACTTAGTTGACTGTAGCAGAGTTTATCCTTAAAAGCAAGTGAATGTTTTATGTATACATGTGGGTTTTCGGGGGAGAAGGCCCTGGTTTTCATCGTATTCTAAGAGGTGATCTTGGACCCAGTCTGAAGATCAAGGCTGAGGACTGTTGAGTGAGGCTGCACCGCCGATGACGCTAAGACCCTGGGCTCTTCTCCCTCCACGGGGGAGCCCTCGGCCTTGGTCCCCTTCCACTAGAGAAACTGGGTGATTTTCAGCCTGTTTGGCAGTTTGGCTGCTATCCTGGTGTTCCCCCCAAATTTGTGTTTATCCAGAATCTCTGAATGTGACCTTATTCGGAAGTAGGGTCTTCCCAGATGTGATGAAGGTGGGAGGAAGCGGGAAGGAGGCAAGAGAGAAAGCTCCCCGAGAGCCTGCAGGGAGCGCGGCCCCCAGCACCGGGCTCTGACTCAGTGCCCCCAGAACTGAGAATAAACTTCTGTTGTTTTAAAGCACCCAGTTTGTAGCACTTTGCAACTAAGACAGCTGCTAGTCACACCAACTCCCAAAACAGTAGAATAAACAAATCAGGAGGTTATTTTTTTCTGAAATCAAAGGAGCCCAGAGGCAGGCAGCGTGAGCAGGTGTGGCAGCCACGTGGTGTGCCCCCAGCCCTCGGCAGTGACCCTCTTCCACCTGCTTGCGAGGTGACTGGCCCAGCTCCTGCCAGCATTTCCGGCAGCACAGGTGGGGAGGGTCAAGGCCCCAAAGGCACAGACTGAGTCCCCACGAGGCTCCCCACCAGGGACTGGCCTTACAGCCCTCAGGTCACAGCTGAGTCATGTGACCGCCCTTGGCCGCCCAGTAACATCTGGGATGTATTGGTGAGGAGTGGGTGGAGGTTGAGTTGGGGAACCCCCCCCCCAGCGCTCTGCCACCTCTTGAGGCCTGAGAGACAGTGAAGGGGGAGGATCTGACTTGTGGAGGCTCGTGGTCTTATCAAGAGAGAGCACAGGAGGGGAGTGGACTTTAGAAACCTTGAGTGTGGGTCCCACTGGGGCCAGACAGACAGGAGGCTTCTGTCATCTGTCTTCCTGGTGTGCTCCCCAGGTGCCCTGCCAGCATCACTAGCACCACTCTTGAGCATCTGGACTTGCCGGAGGCTCACAGCAGAGCAAGGCATCCACGAGAACACGGCAAGGGCTCCCTGGTTCAGGGGATTGTCAGCTACTGTGGCCAGTGTGATCTTGTCAGGCCCCAGAGCTGTGGTGGGAGAGTAAATCTGTACACCCAAACGTGGCTGTGCAGAAACCGTGCGCCAAAGTTTCATTCCCACGTAGCAGTCCAGGGCTTACCCTTGCCAGCTGAAGGCCGCTCAGTCCCTTACAAGTTAACCATTTTTTCGGACAGAAGCCCACAGTCTGCTTCTCTGCCTTGTCTCTCCTCCTCCTGGGATGGTGTCAGGATTCTGGGATGTCTCACATGTCTGTCTGCTGTTTGAAGAGGGGCCTCTGAGTGCCTGCCAGGTCCTTGCTCGCTCTTCTCCTGCATATTTCTGGGCCTCTGTCCCCACCAGAGCCACTGACTGCCCTGTTGGCCTGTGGCTTATGACCCTAAAGACCTTTCATCCTTGTTGCTGGTGACCATTGAATCCCACCACTAGGTTGGGGCAGAGAGCGGGCGATCTGGCCAAGGCCTTCTGCTTCATTGTCCATCCCACAGCGGACTGTCCAGGAGGCAGACAGGAGACGAAGAGACTGTCAGGGCATCACTTTTGTGCATCACTTTTGGTTTCTGCAGATTTCCTCTTTTCCTGCCCCCTAATTTGCTGGAGGAGCCTCCCCTCCATTAGTTCCTTGGACCCAAGAACCCGCAGATGTGCTGGTTCACTCGCATCCATCAGCTGAGCTCCGCTCAGGGCCCAGGAGCCATCTCCCTGCCACCTGCTAACACAGCAGGGAGCCGGCAAGTCTGTCCCCAGTGGCACCCCTCAGGCCACAGAGCTCTGCCTTAAAAGACATAGCATAAAATCAAAGGTAACCTCCAGTCCTGGAAAAGGGGTACAAAAGTGTTTCCTTGTTTCCTGCCGTTGGTTGTCATTAATGCCTCGATGAGTGGACTTTGTGTCTTTTTATTGAAGAGAGAACAAATCGTAACAGGCTTTTAAGCAAATCGAAAACATTCACTCTCTAATTATATCTATTATTCTGTTCCCGTTCATTTTGTTTTCTTGTTTTGAAGCAGGCCTTTCTGTTAGCCAGAAGCTACAGTCACATTTTCTGAACCCATTAAAGCTGCCGTTTTCCTGTGCGGTCTGTATGAGGACTGTCAGCCGGTGTGTAGATGTATTCCTAGTGAAGGTTCTAATAAACGGTCAGGCTGGACTCGTGATGGTACCAGACTTTGCCCCTTGCTGAAAGTACTTTTGGGAAAGGTTTAGAATAGCAGTATTTTCAAATGCAAGGGTGTTTTTCCATGTATGTTCAGTCAGTCCATACTTACTGTGCACCTGGAAGGCACCAGCCACCCTCTTAAGGGCTGAGGGTATTGCCCTGAACAAGACCCTGTGGGGCGTGTTGGACGACAGTTAATCCAGCAGGTGCATGTGCTGATGTCCGGTGGTGGCAGTGCTTACTGTCAGTGCACTAGAGGAGCTGGTGTGGCGGAGCCCAGAGGGTGGCCCACGCCACTGTGGTTTGGGTGGGCAGGAAGGCTGCTTGGAGGAGGCGGCATGGTGGCCAAGAGTGGACCCTGCCATGGGTCCACTGAGCTCTGGTGGCCGTGGGGCCCCATGTGGACCCGAGGAGTCCTGAGCAAAGACTGGAAGAGTATGGCTGAGTGATGACCTAGAATGTGGCATGGGGGGCCTTCTCCATAGGGTATTGTTAAGGCCCCAGGAAGTGAGAAGCAGATGTTCATGGAGGTGAGCCTGCTTGCTGTACTGAGCCTCAGTTTGGTGCTCATATGGCATCTTTCTAAAAATGTGTTGTATAGTATGGAGATTCCTCAAAAAACTAAAAAGTAGACTTACCATATGATCCAGCAATCCCACTCCTGGACATATATCCAGAGGAAACTCTAATTCGAAAAGATACGTGCACCCCAATCCTCACAGCATCACTATTTACAATAGCCAAGACATGGAAACAACCTAAATGTCTAGCAGATGGCTGGATAAAGAAATTGTGGTATATTTATACAATGGAATACTACTCAGCCATAAAAAGAATAAAATAATGCCATTTGCAGCAACATGGATGGACCTGGAGAATGTCATTCTAAGTGAAGTAAGCCAGAAAGAGAAAGAAAAATACCATACGATATCACTTATATGTGGGATCTTAAAAAAAAATGACACGAACTTAACAAAACAGAAACAGATTCACAGACATAGAGAACAAACTCATGGTTACCAGTGGGGAGAGAGGGTGGGATAAATTGGAAGTTTGAGATTTGCAGATACTAACTTTTTTATTTATTAAATATTTACTTATTAAAATAAATAAACAAGTTTACGCTGTATAGCACAGGGAACTATGTTCAGTATCTTGTAGTAACCTATAATGAAAAAGAGTATGAAAAGGAATATATGTATGTATATGTATGACTGAAACATGCTGCTGTGCACCAGAAATTGATACAACATTGTTAACTGATTATACTTAAATTAAAAAGGGGAAAAAATGTGTTTTAATCACCCCCCCCCCACCAACACAGTCCTCTGCATGCCGCAGGAGAGAGGGCCTTCTCTCCTTAGGCACCTGCCTCGGAAGCCACAGTCACCAGTCGGGCTGGGTGCACCCCGCAGGCGGGGGTTGGGGGAAGGTGAGGTCCACTGTGCTGAAGCTGTTGGTGGGCAGCTCAGTGTGATGCTGAGACTGGTGGGAAGAGCTATCTGGGTGGGGCCCCAGATCAGGTCCAGATGAAGAGCCTCTCCTGTGGAGGCCAGGCCTCCAGGCCGGCTTCTCCTGTGGAGAACAAGCTGCGTGCAGACCCTGGGTTAGGTCCTGCTGACTCCATGGGCACCATGGTCTGATGACAGCCATAGTGCCGTGAGTCTGTCCTTTTATTGTTACCATTGCGTTGAATCGACAGCCTGATTTACTGTTGAAATGTTTTAATACGGTGTCTTTAAGTCACCTGGGTGGACCTGGTCCTTAGAGAGAGGGAGTGAGTTAACATCATTGAACTGGGAGGCAGTGCAGGAAGCCCACCCGGCCGTTGGGTGAGTGCTCCCTGCCACCCACCAGGTCAGAGGTCAGCAAGGGGGCCTGGTCTGTCTGCAGAGGTGAGACTCACCTGTCTGTAACACAACACATGCATGTCACACAGGAAAGGCCGCGCATCCCGGCACTGGCCCATCTGCAATTGGCCAGAGCATCCTTGTGGAAGAGTTGCTACGAAATTTTGCTGAAAAATTCCCAGGCTTGCCTGAAGTTGTGGTTTGGCAGCAGATAAGTCATGCTCAGAGCAGTAGTTACAAAATGTCATTCTTCTCTTTTCAGTAAATATTCAAGATGTGATACTACAAGAAAATTTGGAAAAAGAAGACCAAATTCTGGTTTCCCTGGCAGGATTAAAGCAGGTATGTCCGTGGATCTGACTTTGTGTCCCCTAGGCCGCCCTTTTAGTGCCTGCTGGAGAGGGCCCCATAGGGCAGGGTCCGGTGATGTCAGAGCCAGCATCCCCAGGCCCCACATTTCCTCTGAGAGCCCCTTCTGACTCCCCACCTTCTTACAGCCCCTGCTCCTTCCAGCCCTTATGTCCGACTGACTCCCAGCCCATTTCTTTCTCATCTGCCACCCCGCCCCTTCCTTTTGGCAAACTCATTTTGTTTTCCTCCTCCTCAAAGCTGCAGGGGCGTGTGGGCTTCAGCTGACGTCGTCACTCACCGTAAACACATGAGGGCCCTGGGAGCACAGGGCGTAAGTCATCACCTCCTAGGTCAGGCCTCAGCCCCTTGAGGGCCGCGCTTACTCAGTCCTTGAAGGGCCAAGTGGAACAGGAATGTCACTGGAAAGAGCGCAGGCCCTCAGTGTCGGCCTGGTTATGAACACTCAGCTGGGGCAGGGCCACTTCAGGAGCTGAGGGCTGTTCCGGGGGCCGAGGAGCAGACATGAGTGCTTCTGCTTTAGGGTAACTGCCGAGGATGTGACCCCGTGTCTGCCCCTGGCCATTAATAATGACTGAGAAGTTTTCCTTGGCTGTTCGCAAATCAGTGGTTTAGATAGAACTGGGATTTTTTTCTGTTCTTTCTTTCTTATGGTAAGATATTTGCACCTGTGCTATAGTGGAATAGTCAATGACCAGTCTAGTTTGGAGGGTTTAGAGGTTTAGTGGACATTTAAAAACAAACTCATTCCTCTTTCTCATTTGTTTTCTTCCTCTTTGGAAATAGATCAAAGACATCCTCAAAGGTTCCCTGCGTTTCAACCAGAGCCAGCTGGAGGCTGAAGAGAACGCACAGATCACCATCTCAGATGACCACTACCAAGGGCCTGGGGCCATCAAGCAGGTACCAGTGGGCTGATGAACACTGTCACGTTCCCATCAGGGGGGCACAGTCAAAGTTACGAATAACAAAACCCAACCAAAGTTTAACTGCAAAATACGAGTGACCTGAGCCCGGGGTGCTGTATAGAGCTACGCGGTAGGCAGTGCCGTTTGGAATAATTAGACTAGTGTCTCCCTGGAATTGTGCAGTGCACAACCTAAACACCTGTACACAGCAGCTTTGGTCTGAACTTCCTGCCAGTCCCCTCATGCAGCGTTAGAAAGCCGGATCTCTGCTCAGATCTTGGTCAGTTGCCTCCAGCTGCTGCCTCCTTCCCCTTTAGCACAAGCAGTACTGTCCACGCTCTCCTCATGCTGTCTGGAGTATATTTCACTTGCCTAAAACCCGCCTGCTTGCCTCACCAGTGAGCAGACACAGGCTTCCCAGGCGTGGTTTGCGGGGCCCCCACCCTGGTCCAAACAGCTCCAGCCCCACCACACGGCCTCCCTGCGCATTAGTTGGTGGGACTGAATTTCCCTAATAACGTTCTTTCTAAATGGTTTGCAGAGTTTCGTCTTGAAAAACATACATTAGCAAAATCTCATCTAAGTTTCTCAAAAACTAGCATCCAAAGGATTATGAATTATGTATTTTGTATGATTTTTAAAAAGCAGAATGACACTTCAGAATGGGAGTTTCTCCATTTGGAGAGTACTCTACAGGAAGAGAGGACCCTGTGTGGTTAGTGTCATCCAGCTCTAAAAGGAAGTTTCCAGAGAGCATGTTGAGTCTGCACTTTAAGCCACATGAATACAACGTTAGCATCGCAAGGTTACCTGCATTAGTTTCTCGAAATTCCCCTTCCATGCACAGATATTTAATTTTTAAGAATTATTTACCACTTCAAGCATTACTGAGCTTACGCTTGCCCCCACCAATCATTTTTAATTGACAATTTTATTTTAAAATATAGCGTGGTTGTTTTGGTTAACTGGGCGAAAATACAGAAAAAGACCTTTCAAAGACACTAACGAGTTTGCTAAATTTAAAACTTCTTAATTGTGCTCTGTCATCGTCATTCCCAGTTTTCATATTTGAAAGAAATTTCCTGTGGCCACCGCTGCCCCAGTGAACCCAGTGTGATGCCCTCGTCCCAGCAGGGCCAGCCCCTGTGCAGGCTCCAAGAGACCTTCATGCCTCTGAAACCCCGCAGACTCCACTGCTGCCTTCTCAGCTCTGTAGGGTTACGTGGGGAAGGGCTGCCCTTCTCCCCTCACCCCCCGCCATGCCAGAGGACCGGGCCGGCCCCCTGGGGGCAGAGGGCTCAGGGTCCTCCTGCCAGGAGCTGAAAAGCGCTCTTCCCTGGTGGGTTTGTAGGCCCCCTCGCTCCCCGCTGGAGGTCGGTGGAGATGTGGCTGTTCTTTCCATCTCATTTACACATCTCCTCTCCAGCTCTGCTGACAGCAGCGGTGAAATCGTATTCCCTAGACTGAAAAAGCCGTGTTCTCTCCCTCCCTTCCGGAGTCTGTCCCTAACACCCTCCTTTGTTTGGGGTGAACTTTGCTCAGATCCTCTGCAGTAGAAGGCAGGATGATGTAGGGTCCTGGACCCATTGGTCAAGCAGCCCATCCACGTGCCTCGGTGGTACTGGGTCCTCTGTTTTGATCCATGGTCTGCAGCCACGTGGTCTATTACAGGAAAACTGGCCACATGTGTCTACCTAACATTCAAATTAAATTCATTAGGATTAAAAAGAACTAAAAGTTAAAAAGTCTGTTCCTCAGTCACACTGGGCACCCTTCCAGGGCTCAGTGTCCACATGGAGGGGTCCCCTGGCCCAGACAGCACAGAGAGGGACGTTTCGTCAGTGTAGATCACCATTGTTGGGGAGCACTGATCAGTAGCTGAACTCACCTGCTTCCACCACGATCCTAAATCAAGCTGAGAAATGAGGCGGGGCCAGGGGGCCCAGGCGGTGGTCCTGGCCCGTTTGAGGCAAGACTGACAGGCTGAGAAACTTTGTAAATTGTGTCGTATGTGCCAGGGTCTGGCAGAAAGAGAGGACTGACCCAGAGGTTTACAGAGTTTCTGTGAAGGATGTAAGTGGCACCAAGTAGTCACCAAGGCGGCTGTAGAAATCCAGAAAGCAAGCTGATTTGTGTCTGGAAAAAATTCCAGGTCGGGGGGTCCAGAAGGGTGGGACAGCAGCCAAGCCACCAGGCCTCTGGCCTGGGCTGCAAGATACAGGGGCCGGGAGTGAGCATGGGAGCTGGCTGCGGAGGCCCTGTCAGCTCGAGTGTGCTTTGTCTAAGCCAGTCATGACTTTCTCTGGGGACCAGGGGAGGGCACTGTCAGCCACCACTTATCACTTAGACCCACTGCTTTTCCAGAAACAGGCCAGATAATTAGTGTTGGCAGGAGCCATCATTCCTTCTGGTCACAAGTTTGTAGCCTGTTTCTCCTCTTCAAGTCCTGCCCGTGTCGCGACTGGGCACTGAAGGGGGATGGGTTCTCGCGGCCCTTCTGTGGTAGAGACACCGCTCTGAACATGGGACCCGCTATACGTGCTCACTCCATTTTCAACCAAAGACAAATGCTGCCAGGCAGCAGTCCAGCCCCGGTCCCCGTGTGGGTGAGAGGGCGGGGTTCTCAGGGCTCTGGTGCGGGGCGCCAGTCCCATGGACAGAGCATCCGCCGTCTGGAGGTGGGAGGGCACGGCTGGGCCCCGGCCCTGGCCACCTCACACAGGCATCTTTCCCACCTACTGCCCCAGAGCTGCCTGAGATGACGTCCCCCACGACCAGGGTGCCAGGTGCCGCAGGTCACTTCCGTTTTCTGGGAATTGATGTGCCGATAGGCTGTAAGCAGCTGTAAAACTTGAGGCGAAGAACCTCCAGGTCTGGTGTTCAGCACTGGGATCTTTAGTGCCAATTCTGTTTCTGTTCTCCAAGTCAGCCTGTCTTTTTTTTTTAAAAAAAAGAGAGGTTATTTATTATTTACATAACAGAGGTACTGGGGATTGAACCCAGGATCTTGTGCATGCCAAGCATGTGCTCTACCACTGAGCGATGCTCTGCCACCTCGACCTCCTAAAAGTAGGCACTTGTCAGAGAGGTAGGCACCTGAGCCGTTAAGCCACTTGCCCCCCCGTCACTGAGGAAGCAGAGATTCAGAGGGGTCTGTCCATCGGGGCTGGATTTTCCTGAGAAGCATTGCCAGCTCCCTTCCAGGCTCTGCCCACAGCCCACAGGTGGCCTCGGTGATACCAGTCTGGAGGCCAGAGGACCTGGGGGCCTTCCGGCCAAGGGGCTCTGCACCACTTGTTGGACTTCAGACCCTGCCCCCGTCCCCGCCCGCTGCAGGGGGAGCAGGCTGATGGGGCAGGGGGCAGGCGTGGGCATTACATCCACTTAACCGCACGAGGCGAGGGGCTCTTCCTGCCACGCTGGCAGTGCAACCTCCGTGGTCAGACGGTGGCTTCCCTTCCATCCCAGGGCTGGCAGGAGCATCTCTGATCTTAACCCCAAACCTTTTCCCAGTGTACATGGATGTCAGCTTCCTTAGTTAAAAAACAAAACACATAATTACTTCGAAAGAAAGGGAAATAATTATAGAGTAAAGCAATTCCATCGCTATACTATTTGCAAAGTACCATTCTCGGTTTATGTGTTTATAGAACCCCCTAGTCCCCACCATTGTCCCTGGAGACCCCCAAGGGCACAACTAGAGGCCGAGCTGGCTGGGAGGTGTAGGGGAGCAGGTGGAACGTGCTAGGCCCTCCTGACTCCCTCCCACAAGCAGTAGTCATGTCCCTCCAGCTTCGGGGTTCCTGTGGCCTCACATGTGGGCACATCACTCCCTGCGCAGTCACCTCACCCTGGGGCGCAGATGGAAACGCTGGGCTCATCCTTCCCGGCTGCAGATGAGAGACCTCGACCCCGAGGTGAAGGGGTGATGAGTCAGGCCGGGCAACAGCCCATCCCACGGGAGGCCTGCTCTGCTCCCTGGGGCCGTGCACCCGTCTGCATGCCCGTCTGGGAGGATCCCACAGGCCCCGCCCAGCCCCCCCCTTTCACTGTTTCTGCCCACCCCCCACCTCCTGTGCTCTGACTCCTTCCCAGGCCCCTGTGGCTGCGCCAGGGCGCACGGATGGAGGCGGCATGGACGACTTCATCCTCCTCTCCAAGGAAGACGAGGGGGGCAGCCCCAGGGCGCCCCTGTCGGGCCAGGCCCAGCCCCTGCGCCCCATCCGGAGCTCAGCCCGGCCCACCCTGGTGTTCTCCGACCCACTGACCGGCCCGGCCTCGGCCTCCTCCAGCAACCCCAGCTCCAGCCCCGACGACGACAGCAGCGGTCACAGCAAGGACTCGGGCTTCACCATCGTGAGCCCCCTGGACCTCTGACGGCCGCCCGGCCACCTCCGCCGCCCAAGGCCCCACCCCGGCCCCCCGGGGGACGTGCCTCTGAAACCCAGCCTCTTCCCAGCGTGCATGTGGCCTTAGTGCGGCCCCAGGAGCCCTGCAGAGAAAGGCAGGGGGCCAGTGAGCGTGCAGATGGACAGACCTCCCCCAAAACACAACCAGGGCTTTCCGGCAGTCGCTCACCCCCACCCACCCTCGCTCTGGGGTGGAGCTGGGTCAGGTACCCAGTGTCACACTCAAAAGAGACCAGACCTCAGCAAGATTCACTCCCCCGTCCCCTCCTCCGCAGCCAGGAAGGGGTCGTCACGCCACCAGGTGTGTCCGGAGGAGGAAGAGGGTAGTTCCAGGTCCTCCCTCCCCCAGCGTCGGGCAGAGGAAATCTCACTGACAGCAAGAAAACGTTCCCTCTGGAAATTGAAGCTCTCGGCCTATGTCATCCTTCATTCCTCCCCCAGGAAGCCACACAGCAGAGCCAGATGCAACCAAATGGACTAGAACTAGTGGATTCCAGGAATGGGCTGGAAGCAGCCTCGCAGGAAGTTACAGTGATCCTTGGGAACAGGGTCTAAACTTAGGAATCGTATTTAGGTGTGAAGTGGCTTAGAGTACTTTCATGTATGAAAGAAGATACTTCCACACCTCAGGCCAGATCAGCTCTGGCCATCGCTGCCCCTCCTGAAATGATTGCACTTCACCCTTTAGAATCTTTCACAGCCAGAAAGGAGGTCACTTCACAGCAGTCTTTGCCACACTCATTTCAAAAGTTGAAAGAATGTTCCTTCCTTGAATAGGAAAATGTGACTCTGACGTTAAGGGATTAACATCTTTCAGACGGCCGATTCTCCGATAGAGTTTCTGTCGTGTGGGGGCCGTGTCCCCCTGTCAACTGTAAAGGGGGAAACCCAGGCTCATTCCCACCCAGAGTCGGGAGCTCCCACCGGCCTTACAAGAGTGGGAACAGGGCCTTGGACCTGGGGGACCAGGGCTTCCTCAAGAGCTCTCCGGGTGCCAGGAGGATGCAGGCTTCTGCAGGAGCCAAGGGTGGGAGCTGCCAGGCACCCCAGGCACCACCCCCGGGGTAGGACCAGGGCTCCTGCACAGAGCAGAGATTTCCCGTTGGTGGGCAGCTTAAGGAACCGTCAGGGTCATAAGGCACCACCGGAGCTGTTTCTTCCTGGAGGAGAAGGGCCTGGGAGAAGACACTGTCCCCCTCCTTGCCCGAACAGCTCCTGACCAGGTGACCCAGTGCCCTGTCACCTCCACCGGGGGGACCAGCCAGTGCCCTGGGCTTCTCCTCCCAGGACGGCGAGGACTCTGGGCAGTAAAAGCTCTCGTGGCAACAAGGGAGGAGCTGGGTGTGAAGGAAGAGACCTCCCCACCATGCCCCTGCCCTGGCTCTGCTCACCGTGGGTTTCTCTGTAGACGTTCAGAGAACCCTCCAAAAAAACATCAGTGCCTCAAGTCAGCCACTGTGGAGAGAGTTAACTAGCTCTATAAGTTGGTTTTTTTTCCCCCTTAACAGGGGCCCTGGGGAGCAAACCCAGGACCTCATGCACACCAAGCACACACTCTGCCCCTGAGCTACAGCCCCATTCCTTCCATCTGGCTCTTAACTGGAGCAGGGAAGCCTCCTCCTGACCCAGCGGCTCAGATGACAGGGCGGTCTGCCTTCCGTCGTGACTGAGGTGCACTGATGGCTCTCCAGCTCCTGACCCTGAGTGGTCCACTCGGCACCCAGTGGGGATGACGCCCTGAGTAGGGGGCTGCCACCTACACGGCCCCTGGATGACACCCGTGAGCTCCCGAGGTCCCCACATGGCGAGTGGCCCGGCGGCTGTGCAGGACCTGGCAGGAGGCAGGCAGTGTGGAGCTGTCCCCTGACAACTGGGCACGGGGGCGCCAGACCCCCAGCACACCCACAAGGCTCGAGGCTAGTGCTCCTCCCCCGCCAGCGTGCCAGGGCTGGTCCCCCATCTACGCTTCCACGCCAGTGCCCCCCACCCAGTGAGAACCAGGGGGTCACTCCGAGTGTCACTTCTTGCCCCCTCCCCCCAGGGCCGCTCCCTCCTCAGAGAAAAGAAACCCACAAGGGGGAGTGGGGCGTGGGAGGGGCCCCCTCAAATTCCCATAGGTTCATGGGGTTCATGATTGTATTACTGTCTTATATTTTTTTTAAGTGACTTGTTTTTATTCTTCAGAGTTAAGCACCATTTGCCTTTTTATTAGTTACAGTGCTTTTAAAGAATACGTTTTCCTTCCTTTTTATTACTTTATCAAGTAGTTATGCTTTGTTGCACATTTTTTAAAAATCCTGAATATATGAAGCCTTTAAGTTTTTCTTTAACATATGTGGTAATCATTGGAAGCTTCTCTTGTTTTGATGTTTAGCAGTTAAATATATTTTCAAGAGGTCAGTCATAGGTTAAGTCTCATTGTCTTCCTCTTTTTTTATACATGCCCCGATTCTCCATTCCTCTCAGATCTGTTTGGAAATTTGAGTTAAGATGGATCTCTGTAAATTATAGTTGCGAGTTACAGAATCAAGAAAGAAAGTCACTCTAACTTGCCTTACTTTGTGTGTATGCCAAGGGGTCACGTAACACTTTAAACAGTTAATTGTGCTGGATTATTCTTCCAAAGATGACCTCCTGCTCATCTCCCCTGCCAACTGCAGTCTGACAAGAAGTAACATCTTTGCAGAGTAAATGTGGCTAAAAGGAAACCAGGACCCCCGTGACCTGCCTTGTCTGCCCACAGCTGAGCTGACTCGTGTGCTCCAGTCCCCGCCACTAACACAAACGATGCCTCTCCTTTGTCAGAGACGACGAACAAATGGAAAACTCAGTGACAGTTACGACAGCCTGCCAGAGGTGGCCGCAATTATTTTTGTTTTTATGTTCGTGTTTCTCTAAGAAGTTGCCCCCGGGGGTCACTACGGAACAAGGGTGTGTGGAGGCCCGTGTCCCCGTGTTCTGAGGGGCTGTCCTGGGGCACCTGCGGCCACCCCATCCCTCCTGCCCCACAGGTGCCTACCTGGCTGCCCATGGGTCCAGAGCAGGGCCTGGGGAGGCTGTAGGGGAGGCGGGGGTGGAGGCTGGGAGGAGGGAGGAGGAAGCTGAAGCCGGGCTTCCTTCGAACGGGCCAAACCCGCTTCCCAGGTGTTACTTTCAAAAGCTCTCTTTTTATGGTGTTAAAAATACAATGTTCTTGTAAACAGGCTGGAGACCACTTTGATGTAAAAGCTGTCATGATCACACTCCTCCCAGGGGCACAGCTCATTTGATTTACGGGATACGCAGCTGTGCTGTTTCTGTCCGATCGCTGCTTTTCTCACTCATCTTTACTCTATAACTCATATTGATTTAAGAAATGACTTATCTCTTGGGCAAAGTGACCCCATCCTGTATGATTATAATAAAAGACTTATTGAAACTGAGAACAAAGCTTGACTTGTTTCCACCGGGGGTGGGCACACAAGGTGCTGGCCGGCCAGGCCTGACCCCGGCGAGACCTGCCCGAGGCCGGGCGCTGGGGCGCAGGCCTGACCAGGCTCACCCCTGACCCCACCACTCCCTTCCTCTACAGTTCGGGCAAGTTGCTTAACCACTGGGGCCTCAGTTTACGTGCAAACTGGGGTAGCAGCAGTCACCTCCTTCCTGGCTGTGGTGAGGACCAGAGGATCACACCTCATGCCTTGGAACCTGCCGCGTGGTGAAGGCAGGACGGGGTCAAAGGTGACGCTCCATCCTGCAGGAGCCCCCAGGGCCCGTGTGGTCCCACTCTTCCACTGACAGCAAGCCACCCCTCCGCACCGCCTATCCTCTGCGCCACGTCTGCCCCAGTCACCTCACTTACACGGCTAACGTGGGGCTTGGTGAGGAGGCCACGGGGAAGGGTGAGGAGAAGGTGGAGATCCCAAGTCTTAAATGACAGACTCAGAAGGTAAGAGCCGTCTTCACAGCGTCGGCAGAGCCATGGAGCCAGCACACCTTGGATAGATTTTGTGCCTGGGCCCAGCCCCAGCCGAGGCCTCTGTCCCAGGCCCAGCCAGGAAGGGGCCTTCCCTACTGGGCCACAACGCCCCCAGCCAAGGGACTTTGTGGACCACAGGCTCTGCCATCAAAAGGTTGGAGGGCCCGGCTGCTCTTCCGACGGTTCCCACTGGTGACAGTGATGGGGACCCTGCCTCCCCTGACAGGCGACACCATGAACGCCTCCTGTTGCCGGGAGCCCAGACCCTGTGCAGCAGGTGGGGCAGGGGCTCACACGCCCTCACCCCAGGACCACCCTCCTGGTCCTCCCAAGCCCCCAGGGCTGCTCTGTGCCTGCAGAAAGGGGTGGGGGTTCCAGTGTCCTGGGAGCAGCGCCTTCCCCGACTGCCTCCCCCGACTGCCTCCCCCACTCACTCAGCTCCTGGTGCTCCCCCTTGGGCACAAGCCCCTGACACCCTGTCCCTCCAGGACCCCTCCTGCAGGCAGAAGGCCAGCATCAGGCGAGTGCGAGGAAACCAGGGGTCCAGGTGGGTCCAGAGTCTTCGCAGACCAGGGCTCTGTGCTCCTCTGTGCTCAGCGGAGGGACCAGGCCCAGGCCCGTCCACGGTCCTGCTGGCCCTGGTCCTAGTTCCTGCTCCTGGCCCAGCGCCTTGCCAGGTGACACCCAGGGCAGCCTTCGGCCCAGAGGGGCAGTGACCAGCAGCCTTTTACTACTTTGCAATTCGTCTCCATCACAGCCAGCAGTCCTGTCCTTGGTTTTGAATCTTTCTTTAATTGAAATATAGTTGGTTTACAATGTTGTGTTGGTTTCGGTTGTACAGCACAGTGATTCAGATACATACATATATTCTGTTTCAGATTCTTTTCTATTATAGGTTATTATAAGATATTGAATATAGTTCCCTGTGCTACATAGTAGGTCCTGATAAAGAAGATGTGGTATATATATATATACAATGCAATATTACTCAGCCATAAAAAAGGATGAAATAATACCATTGGCAGCAACATGGATGGACCTGGAGATCATCATACTAAGTGAAGTAAGTCAGACAAAGACAAATACCTATGACATCACTTATATGTGGAATTAAAAAAAAATACAAATTCTATCTTGGTTTAAAACAGACTCAACGGACATAGAAGACAAACTATAGTTACCAAAGGGGAAAGGGCAGGGAGGGATGAATTAGGGGTGGGAGATTAACAGATGCACATTATTATGTATAAAATAGGCAAACAACAAGGACCTACTGTATTTGCCTTTTCTTGAAAAGAGGACCTAAGCTTTAGCTGGTCATTCACCCATATTTGTTGAGCACTCACTAAGTTCTAGGGGCTAGAGAGACGTGGCAAGCAAGACACAGGATTCCTGTCCTCGGAGCTTGGAGTCCAGTCGAGGAGAAGGTAGTGCCCCCCTCATGCAACACACGGCCCTTGTGAAGGGGCGAAGGACATCGTTTCAGGTGAGGACGGTGTAGCAGAGGCTCTTCAGGAAGTCCAGGTCCCTCTCCCCACGGGGCAGGGGCACAGCTGGACCGCATTCCACCGTCTCCCTTGCAGGGACTGAGCTCGGACCCCCGGAATAGGAGTGATGACCCAGGAGCAGTGTATGGATGGAAAGGTGATGAGTTGGGACCCTGGGAGCCAAGGATGCAGGGGTAGGGGGGCGCTAGGAAACCCCCATCTCTCCCCAGATTCGGAGACCCAGCCCATCCCACATTTTTCCTAAGCCTGTTTGTCATTTTTTGCTTTCATTCCAGCTGTGACAGACTGGGGAGAGATGGAGGTCGGCGTTACTCCTAACCAACAAATTCATTCAGAGATTTCAGCGCCCATCAGACACCAGTTCCCTGGACTCTGCCTGTCTGACTCAACCTCAAGGTGTCAGGGCTCCAGCCCACCCTAGCCCATTATGAGGGCACTTGGGATGAGACAGGTAAGCTGTGCCAGCCTCCACTTCCTCATCCCTAAAGTGGGGCGGGCACCAAGCTTGGCCACCTCACGGGGGTGTTGTTTGTTAAATGCCAGGCACTGGGCATGATTAACTCCCACTGACAACACCCCACAGGGGTAGGTGGTGGGCATCACGTGGCTCCCTTGGCCCACAGCCTGCAGCCCTGCCCCTGCAGCCGAAGGGCAGGATTTGAGGTGGCCCGGAGCACCCAGGGGTGGCAGGCTCTGCCTGCCTGCGGGACCAAGGCCAGCATCAGCACCAGGACCTAACCTCACCGTGTAGCCTCACAGACAGGTGCGACTCCTGGGACATCTGTGCGTGCATGTGGTTCACCTCGTGTGCTGATGGGGGTGGCCAGGCTCTGCTGGGTTTCTCAGAATTCTGGGCCTCAGAGATTCGGAGAAACTTGGGCTTTCAGAGAAAGTCTGCCGACGTGCCGCAGAGACTTTAACCACAGAGCCCGAGCGGCAGCCAGGTGAGAGCTGGCTCAGCAGCCTTCCTGTCCCCGGCTGTGGGCAGCGTCCCCAGGCGCAGGGTCAGTCCCTCCTAAGGCACAGGTGGCCTGGGAGGAGCACTGGACCCGGAGTCCATGCCCCGTGGTCAGCCCTGCTCCCTGCCTCGGTGCCACAGCCCACCCCCACCCCGGCAGGCACCCTCCTACCCAGGCTCAGGGAGGAGACTGTGGGGCACCAGCACCCTTCCTGACACTTGGTTTCTCCCACCTGAAAAGTAGAGGTTAGATTAGATTAGCGCTTTTTCACACTTTTTGGACCGTAACCCACATTAAGAAATACACTTTACAACGTATTACGCAGGGTGACGCCTGCAGCTGTAACTCACGTCCCAAGATGTCAGTGGCTTCACATGAGACAAAGTTCATTTCTCACTCACAGAACTGCAGCGCGGGGCTTCCTGGTTCGTGGGTAGCCCTCCCCACGCAGTGGTTCGGGGACCTGGCCGCCTCGAGGCTCCACCGTCCGCTCATGCTGCCCCACCAGTGTCAGAGGCCCTGGCCCCCACAGTCAAATGTTATTTTCAACCACATTCCATTGGAGAGAGCAAGTGGACACACACACACACACACACACACACCCCGAAATAGAATATGAGTCACAAAACAAACGTGCTCAGACTGGGTGTGATGCCTTCTGGTTCTGACATTCTGCCATATTACATGACATTACATTGTATTATATATATATATATATTTTTTTAAGACTTTTTTAAATTGAAGTATAGTTGGTTTACAATGTTGTGTTAATTTCTGGTGTACAGCACAGTGATTCAGTTATATATGTATATTCTTTTTCATTATAGGTTATTACGAGATATTGAATGTAGTTCCCTGTGCTCGACAGCAGGCCCTTGTTGTGTATCTATTTTATATCTAGTAGCATGTATCTGCGAATCCTGAACTTCCATCTTATCGCTTCCCATCCCCTTTTCCCCCTGGTAACCATAAGTTTGTTTTCTATGTCTGTGAGTCTGTCTGTTTTGTAAGTTCATTTGTGTCATTTTTAAAAGATTCCACATATAAGTGATCTCATATGGTATTTTTCTTTCTCTTTCTGGCTTACTTCACTTAGAATGATGATTTCCAGGTCCATCTATGTTGCTCCAAATGACAAATACTGTATATCACATTATATTAGTGACCCACTAAATTAATCTCTGCCGCCCCAAGGCCCCATCCAGGGCCTTGACCAACTATTGGGTTAATCTTATAAACAACTAATGCCTACAGTTTAAAAACTCAGACAATTCCTCAAGGAAGTGACCGTAATCTTACCCAACTCTGAAGAGCACACAGAGTTCAGTGGCCACGTGTCCGGAAGGACTTTTTCAGCCAAGAAGAGAGCCGCTCGCAGCTGTAGCAGAGCTCGGTTGTCCCTCAGAGGAGGAGGCAATGCAGGAAAAATGGCTTTTAATCCACAAAAATTGGGATGTCCTCCTAATCTATCCAAGGAAGGGAGGTCTGGTCGTCTGTCCAGGGGCAGGAGGCGCTCCCGGGGCGGGGGGCAGGAGGACAGTTTCAGAAACCAGTTGCAGACCAGGTGTGGAGGATGGGCGTGCTGGCTCCAAGCCACCCTCTGAGGGACTCAGCAGGTGCTCGTCCCAGACTGCAGTCGACTTCGGGCATAAGTCCAGCCCCGTGGCAATGGGGATTCGCCAGAATGCTGGAGAAGGGGCAGGCGTCTTGGTACCTTAGTACCTGCTTAGTACCCGAGGGTTGCCCCCACCCCCAGGAGAGGTCTGGTCCACCCGCCTCCTTACCCATATTCCCTGAGCTCCGACGCATCTGCAAGACGCCCTCTGAACCTGCTGCTCTTTTTTCAGACACACCTGGGAAGAACCCTGTCACCATCTGTGAATCAGCTCATGACCAGGGTGACAATGGGGATGCTGGCCCTTTTCTTTAAGGAGACCAGTCAGACTGCAGTGAGTGACCCAGATTTTCCTGCATAGGTACGGCTTCAGAATCCTCAACCC